CGAAGGAAATTGCATGTCCTCACATATGAATAGCGGGTGTCTAGGTCAGCCCACAGCAAAACCCCAAAACAAAGCCAAGCCACAGCCAAACAGTTAAAATCTTCTTGAGGATCCGGGCTGGCATGCCTTTGTAGTTGCTGCTGATCTGCGGACTTGAGACAGCAAGAGTCCCACTCGACCTGAATCGAGTAAGTGAACTCATAGGCCGGTTATCCAAAAGAGTGCACAAACTGAAAAGTCCATCTGCAGCTGGTTTGGAACAACTAAATTGCTTAGCAACATCCAAATCAGAATCAATCAAAATATATATCTGGTGATATGGCCACCCGGTTCTATTGGAGGTTGATACCATTGCAGCTGTATCAGTGATTGTGGAACCAGTCTTTAACAAAATTCATTCTGGAATCCAACCCTTAAGTTTGCATAAGATCTCAGCCAGACTGAGAACCTATACCAGTGAATCTCTACAGATTAAGGGTTAACTTGATGGAGTGAAATTGGTTGAGAAAGATTCAACTTGATTGGCTCAACATTTTTTGATTAGATATTGGCTGCCTGAGTGAAGTCATAGTTAAATACCTGGAAGATTTTCAGGAAATTCTAGGGACTATCAAAGGAGATGAGGCCATCTTACATATTGACCAGCAATAATTCCACCCTGCTGCAAGGCCTGCCCAGTGCCATTTGCCTTACATGCAAAAGTAGAGGCAGAAATCGGGAGGCTGGAGAGCAAAGGAACCATCAAATCAGTCCAGTTTGCAGAATGGGCAGCACCGGTTGTACCAATTGTGAAGCCTAAAGGGTCGGTTTTCCTTTTTTGCAGATTTCAATAAAAAGGAAAACAGCTTTTCGCAGCTGGATAAATACTGAATCCCTCCAAAGGGTACTTGTACACAAAACCAGTAGGGCTTCTATCTTTCACAAAGCTGGATATGAGCCATGCATACCTGCGATTGCAAATAGATGAGGATTCCCAGAACTAGCCACAATTAATTACCCATAAGAGTTTGTGCCAATATATGAGACTGCCATTTAGGGTATCATCAGCCTGTGCCATTTTCAGTGGACAATGGAGAACATTTTACAAGGTCTGTCCCAGGTCGCCATTTATCTGGATGACGTGCTAATAACTGAGAGAACCAATAAAGAGCATTGAGAGAAATTGGACATAGTCCTTAGACATTTCACTCAGGCAGATGTATGTCTTAGAAGGAAACAAATTGTGTTTCAAGCACCCCAATTGACCTACTTGCGCTAAAGAGTCGACAAGACAGGGTTACACCAATTGGAAGATAAAGTGAGGGCAATCAAAAGTGCTCCCATGTCAGTATTGAAGATTAGGTCTTTCCTTGGTATGGTGAATTAATGCGGGAAATTAATATGTAACTTGGCCTCCAGCTTGGCACCCTTACACCTGCTATTGAAAAAGGGTCAGCCTTGGAAATGGTCTCGTAGCCAAGAAGTAGCCTTTAGGGAAGTGAAGAAGCAGCGAGTCATCTAAGGTGTTGGCACACTACGATCCCAAATGAGACATGGTACTGACATGCGATATGTCCCCATACGGTATTGGGGTAGTGTTGGCTCATGGTGGCGTGGAGAGGAATGCCCGATAGCTTATGTTTCCTGGACTTTGGCTGATGCTGAATGAAAATACGCCCAGATAGAGATGGAATGTTTGGCGGTCACCTTTGGTGTGAGAAATTTCCACCAATACCTTTACAGATGTATATTTGTCATAGTAATGGACCACAAACCCCTGCTAGGACATCTTAAAGAGGTTAGAGCCATGCTGCATATAGCTTCAGGCCGAATACAGCGTTGGGCTCTTATTCTGTGTGTACAATTACAAGTTGGAACATGCCTGGGAGGCCAAGTGGCAATTGCAGATGTCTTGAGCCACCTCTCACTGGTGGTGCTGCCACTAAACTTCCAGTCACCACCGACAATATCAGATTGTGGACACAAGAAGATCCTGTCCTGGCAAAACTAAAACATCTGGTGATGATGGAGAAAAGAAAAGGGCTGTCACAACCAGAAATGAAATCTTTCTGGACCTGATGAGACCAGATCGCTGTAGAGGACAGCATATTATTATGGAGAGCAAAAGTGATTGTCCCAAGCAAAGGTCCCTGCCAGAATTTGGCTGAACTATACCAGGATCATCCCAGTGTTGCCAAAATGAAGATATTAGTGAGATGTTATGTCTGGTGGCCAGGTGCAGACATAGCTGCATTGATG